CAAAATCAAAAAATATCAATGATTAAAAAATGAGGTTGATGCAACAATAAAGCCATATTTTTGCATTTAAACATATAATTATATCTTTATTTATATCTGACGGTGGGTAAACTTTGTTAAAATCAGTCATTTTGCTTGCATAAAATATAGAAAAATCAATGGAAAAGAGTGGATCTGTAAAAACGATTTAAAAGCTTTTAATTCCCTAAATATAACCTATCCATTACATTCTATTCGTCTGTTTACTCTTTTTAAATGTTTCTGACTAAACTAATATTTTGATTAAACTCAAACCATTTATTATCTAATTATATCACTAGCTGCTAGTTTGCACTGTTTGCATTTTTAAAATGATCAAAATATAAAGTTTGTTTCTGCTAGTGACTAGCAGAAACAAAATTTTATATTTTGATCATTTTAAAAATGCAAACAGTGTCTCAATGGAACATTTACTACATGTTTAATAGTTTCTGGAACATATGTTCAACAAATATGTTGAACTTTGTGAATTCATTTAAAAAATAGTATACATGTATAAATATGTATACATAAAAATTCTTTTATAATGATAATAAATAAATGAAATTTTAAAACAACGTCTTTTTAACAGTTTTACAGTGACAAAACACATCAAAAAAAAATTCTTTTTAATTACAATGTAAATATAATGTATTCAAAAAATGTAATGCATAAAAGTTAAATTTTTAATCTTATTTCACGCACAATACGAATTAAAAACGGCAACCATCGAGTAAGTTTTGTTATGATTTTTTTTTAACCTTTTGGGAACCTTATGGGAAACCCGTCAAATCCACAGGTTATTCGGCCCTGATAAAACCAGATAAAACCCTAGCGAGCAAATATGCTTGATTTTATTCCCATATGGGACCCAAAACACTTACCCGTCAAAATCCCGTTCCCGTAAGCCCAGACAAAAACCACACGGTACCCGTCTGTCAATGTTGGCTGGGTTATTATATATACATTATTATTATTAATAATATTATTAATAATATTATTGGGCAAACCCCAAACTTATCAAATAGAACTTTAAAGTTCTGGCAAAGTTAATTAGTTTCTTTGTGTATGTCAGTATCATTGAATCCAAGTTTGACTATGAGCTTTGGTATTAGTTTGGAATTAACAAATATGATAAATTTACCTTGAACATTTTGTTAACATGATTACCAACAAAACTTTTCCTATGGTATGCTTGTCTGTGCACTCCTAACAAACTAAGTCGACAAAATGACTTTACATGGTCCTGTTTGTTTCATTATTTTCTGAGATCTATGAATATAAATATGGCGATTGATTCTCATATAAGTACCAAATACTGATATAAAAACAAAATACCAAAACGAAATCTACTAAACAACATATCTATTAGGATCCGAACAAAATGTATTATTTATGATTTATATTTTTAGCGAACAATAAAATTTAAAATGTTTACCTTTTTTTTTTCATCTTCAAAGTGAGTTATATGTGGTTCAAACACTAACTTCATATATTCTTCATTTTCAAGGTTGATAATATGTGAGTTTCAAGTGCTTCTGTTATAATACGTGTTTTATCTTCAAGATCCTGAATACTTATCTGAAGTTTTTTTATTATACAATGCTTCTCAGTATATTTGTTAAACTTTTTGCAGTCGAATATTTGGTTGTTTACTGGCAAATGTTTGCAAAGTTTTTTATTTAATAAAGTTAAGTGCAATAGCATCAATATCCCTTGTGATAACACTTATTGAATTTAATGGAAATATATCTGATATTTGTAATGATGTTGCTGACAAGATTGAGGATATTGGTATTAGAGTCTGACAAATATTTTGATGATTCATGCATTCTGACAGTTGTGACACTTTAAATAATCTACCATAACGTTGCTAACATTCTTCTTGAATATTATTTATCATTTCAATAACATTGCTAGAGGAGGTTAATCCATCAATTGAAATTGAAAAGTAGCATTTAGGGCATTTTGTTTTAGATAATAGTTTATTAATGATAAGTGGTAATATACATGGTGCACAAAATGAATGCTAGTTTATACATAATACAATTACAAATATGGAAGACACAAAGATTTGGTAATGTCTTGTAAATTTAAAGTTGGTAGAGGTGAAAGTTTAGCTTGTATTTATTGCTTGTCGAGTCCAAATTTCTTTATTGGCAATATTCAAGGCCCTTTACAGTTTTCTTTGGTTTCCTTCCTTTATTTACTTTGAAGCAAACATATTCACATTTGCGATTGCTAACCCAGGTTCTTAATTAAAGATTAGTATTTGAACCTTTTTCTATGTTTCTCATTATTGAATAGCATCTGTAACACATCTTCTATGGGTGCATCTTTGGGTCGCCCTTATCAATTCGTATATAAAAAAGCAATTTTATTCTAATTACATGGTTTGTTAAAAGAACATTACGATTTACAAGATTTTCTCCACATATTTGTTATAATTTTTTTAGTTTTGTTATAAAAGACTTGGTCATATTTATATTTATTTATAGCCAAATAGTAGAATTTGATGTACACTGTTTTTAAACTTTAAAAAGTAATCCAAGTCTAATTTTTTTTAATATAAAGATAAACTCTTCTAGTTTTAAAATAAATTAGGTTTTATAGTCTAAAAATTTAAATATACGCTTAATTATCCAGTTTAAAGATATATAAATAGCCATAAATTCAAGTCTGAGTTTCCCGTGTATTTAGAGATACTAAAATTTAAAAATTTAAATGTTGTGAAAAAATGCATTTTCCATGGCCATATTTAAATCAATTTTAATAATGGGATATCAGTTATACATCTTTATAGCAAAGCTATAAGTTATTTTTTTAGGATATGGTTAAAAAAAAAATTAATTACCAAACAAAAGCGAAATAACGATATTTTTTTTAAATAAAAGTTGCGCCTGCGCATTATAAAATGCCGCGATTGTTCAATATTAAACCACCGTGGACTCCATTAAAAAATTAAATTATACATTAATAATGAAGCGACCCATCATAATTACTACACTTTGCATAGGAAATATATACACAGATTTCAAAAGTATATACAAAAGTCGGAGATTATCAATTTATAATAATTAATGCAAAGGATATTTCGTGCATAATTTTATGGAAATGCCCTTATGTTTATTTATTTATTTGTCTGAACATAAAATTATACATAAAATTCGTTAATCGGAAAAAATTTATATTAATTTTATGCAAAAAGAAATTTATCAGATTCCCTTAAACAGACCCGATTTAGAAATTATTAGTATGTCGATGCTACTGACCACATAAACTATATCCAGACCATCTTACAAAAACAATAACATGCATTTCATTAGTTAATTAGCTAAAGTACGCAATAATCTTTCTCTATGGCCCAGGGTGTGACCCGCTGGACCTTCAATTCTAAGTAAACAAGCTGGTAATGTTTCATTTTGCCAAGTGATGAGATCAAAACCACGGATAAACTTAAAATATTGAATAAGATCAGCTCTTGTTTTTCTTAATTCAAGTATTTTTAATCTCTTGAGTCTTACATCGTATGTTAAGTGTGCTATTTCAGATATAAATTTTGTTGTTCTTTTTTGAATGCGCTTAAGAGTTCTTATATCCTTTTTTAAATAGGGTGACCAACCTTGTGTAGCAAACTCAAAGTGTGGACGGACGTAGGTAATATAAAGAGACTTTCAGAAAGATAACCCTCTACTTTTAAATGTTTTTTTGAGGGTACCAAGTACTTAATTCGCTTTAGCAGCATATGTAACCAAGTGAAATGTTTGTCTTATTGGATGTATACATAAAGTTACAATACATGTAAACAAAAACAAACAAACAAACAAAAAAACAGAATAAAATCCAGATCTAATGCATGAATACAAAAGAAAAAACAGAAAAAAACATAAAACAAAAAGGTAAAAATAATAATTAATATAAACAATTATGAAGATCTAATAACAAAATTACTAACTTCATAAAATGATCTGATTGCATTTTATGAAGATATATTATTTATACCTACTAATAAATATTATTTTTATAAAATATATTTTATTAATTATAAAATCTTTTAAAAAATTTTTAAATGTCAAGTGACAAGTGAATAAAAATTTTTATAACATTTGTATTTTAACATACAAGATAAAGTTTTTTTAAATAATAGTTTTTTTTTTTTTAATAAAATATTAAAAACACGTTCTTTGTAGACTTATTTAGGGATCATTCATAAATTACGGAACGCTAATTTTATTTAAAAAAATAAAGTTTTTTATCTTAGGCTCTGTTACGCGGCGGTTTTCATTAAATTTATTGCGCTGTTTTAATTTTTCATACCATTTAAGACTGCGAAACTTTTTTTTTTTTTGCTTTGTTTATTAGTGAAATTTAGGATTACGTAATTTATCGATGATCCTTTTTCATGATTTAAATAATACGAAGAATGTGTAGAAACGCAAATATTCTTCCATGAACTAAAAATATAACTTACATTTTAACATATTAACCTATTTAACATTCACTTTTTGACACGATTACTCGACTGCATACTTTCGTGTAGACTGGTTATTGTTTATGCAACCTATGGTTATTGTTTATACAACCTTGGTTACTTAACTCCATATTTTATTGTAGACTGAACCAAGCAGGGCCGGCGCGAGTTGGTGTCACGTGGGGGGGGGGTGCTATTACAACTTTTGCCGACTAAAAAAAAAAAAAAAAGGTCCAAAAGTTGCCGACTGTCATGAAAAATGTCAAATTTGCCGACTAAAACTTACTAAATAATTGAAGTAGGGGGGTGCTACACCCCCCACACACCCCTCCCCCCCTAAATCCGGGAAATATTTTTATTTCACGCGGAATTTTCACTTTTGAATTTTTATATTTTTTGTAATTTTAAATTTTTTACAAGGAAATCCCAAGTTTAAAAAAAAAATCAACTTGACTGTTTTATTTACGTAAAAATTTCAAACTTGACGTATTCAAAAGAATTTGTCTCAATTACATTTTATTAAATTTATCAAAACAAAAGACATTTTAAAAAGAAACTGACACCTAATGTCTCATGTTGCTCAAATAGCATTTGAAATGCTAATGTTACAAGTATATACTATATGAATTTAGTATTACTGAATCATGAATAAACTAACACAAAAAGATGTTAACATTTTAAGGTCGTATTCTAACAATGTTGTGTCACTGATTTCTTTTCTTGATGAAAGAGGCTTCGGTATTTTAAATTGGACTGATGACATAGGAAGAACCATTCTGCATCATATTGTTGACAACAGTGGAAGTGCAGAATGTGTTAAGCTATTGCTACAAAAAAACGGTATACAGATAAAATAAGATTTATAAGGATTTAAAGTAAAAATAATAGTGTATATCTAGAAATAAGACTTGAAAACTAGAAACGTATTATAGTAGAAAAGTCTAAACATTTTTTGTTTTACGAAGCATATATAATCTTTAAACATTCTTTTAAATTAAAACAAAGTCATTTAAAATATTCATTTAATTATATTGAATTGTATATATTTTAGGTACATTTTACTAAAACAAACTTAGTTGTACTACACTAAAGTATTTTTTATTCACTATTAACTACTATATAAAATTGCATAAAAAACTATTATAATAGAATTGCTATTAGTATTTATGCACTACACACAATAAATAAAAAAAAAACTGTTAATCAAATTTTTAAATGATGTTTAATGTAAGTCTTAATTTTTACTAGATTAACAGGAAACCAAAGAGTGTTTCCATATAATTATCAGTAGAATAAGATGTTTGTTAGTTCTAGTAATAAGTGCTTTTTTTTTTAGCTGACCCAGATGCAGTTTCAGATATTGTTGACAAGTGTTCAGTGAGACTTATGTTATTTCAACTTTTTTCTGCTTATTGTTGTTTGAATTAAGATTTGTTTATATAATTATACAAATTGTATAATTTTCAAGTATGAAGTTAATTTTTTTTTTTTTTTAATATTTAGACACCTCTACACTATGCTGCAAGAACTAATAATCTTGATTGTATGATCGTTTTGCTTGAATATGGGGCTAAAATAGATGTATTAAACAGTAATAGAAAACGTGCTATTGATCTTGCAACAGATTGCAACTCAACAGATTGCATAAATTATCTTCATAAAATTTATGGTATGTGTATTCTGTATAAGCAATAGAACTAAAAACTTACTTCCTTATTTGAAAAACTTTATTTTATATTTTAATGTAATTCTATCAACACACCAGTTGTTTAGTAAAATAATTATTTCAATATATTAGAATTGTTTCTACATTTTTTCTTGTGTTTATAGTTTTGATTATATTTTTTAAAAGTAAGAATAAATTGTTGATGTAGTTTTAGAATTAATTTGAAAGATGCATGTCTAATATGCAGCTTTACAATTTTTTTTGATATAACCTGACTATTATATTCAACAAGAGGGCTTGATGAATAATATCAGAGCTATATAATTAATTCTTTGACGAGGTTAAATAAAAAAAAACTACATAATTTTTACTGCTAAAAGTTTCATGCGTTTAGCAATCATCAGGTAAAAAATACATCCTTAGGTTAAAAATATATCAGGTAAAAAATACAGGAATGTATTTTTTACCTAATAATTGCTAAATGAATGAAACTTTTAGTAGTAAAAATTATGTAGATATTTTTATTTTATCTTGTCAAAAAATCTTTTATATATATATATATATATATATATATATATATATATATATATATATATATATATATATATATATATATATATATATATATATATATATATATATATATATATATATAAACATAGTATATATATATTTATATATATATATATATATATAAAAATATATATATATATAGATAGTATATATACAAATATTGTCAGGTCAGGTTATCCTGCTAATGGTAACATGCAACCCAGTACAATCTGTTTCATGTCATTGTAGGATACATTGTAGGATACATTGTAGGATGACTTTAATGCTCATCACACTGAATGGGTTGGCTCTAGTGCCAGTGACTCTGCACGCATTAAAGCCCACAACTTTTGCCTTTCTCAATCCCTTACTCAAATAGTCAACTTCCCAACTCGCTTTCCAGACAACCCGAATAGTTTACCTTCTCTACTCGACTAATGTCTTGTTTCCTAGTTAGTGCTCATTTTCTCTGCATTTACCCTTAGGTGCTTCTGATCACTTAGGTGCATTTTGATCTCTCTCAAACTTTTATATCATTCTTCTTTATCATCTGAATTCCCCGAAATTGTTACTTCCATATTTATCAGCCAAACAATTCTCCAGAAAACAAATGACTGTTTATTACTGCTAGAAACCATTATAAAAAGGTTTTGTATAACCCCAAAGCCCGCTATTCTCAGTTCATGAAATATATATATATATATATTATATATATATATATTATATATATATATATATATATATATATATATATATATATATATATATATGTATATATATATATATATATATATATATATATATATATATATATATATATATATATATATATATATATATATATATATATTTCATGAACTGAGAATAGCGGAGAATAGCCCCAAAGCCCGCTATTCTCAGTTCATGAAATATATATATATATATATATATATTATATATATATATATTATATATATATATATATTATATATATATATATACATATATATATATATATATATATATATATATATATATATATATATATATATATATATATGTATATATATATATATATATATATATATATATATATATATATATATATATATATATATAATTTGTCTAGAATTACGTGAAAAAAAAGATGAGGATGATAAAGCAAAAGGTAATTATAAATATATAATTTCTTTCATTAGTCAAGTAGTGATACCATTTAAGGTTAAATTAGTAAAGCCTATCTAGTCAGTTAGTGGTTTGAATTTTTTTTTTATTAATAAATTATTGTTACTGCAAGATTATATTTACATCTAAAATAGATTTGTTATGTACGTAATTGAAAATTATTAGGTAATTAAAATAATTATCTTTCTCTTATTATTATATTTTTTTACTTTTAGCTCTTTATAAATCAATTGAAGCGAATGATTTTGAAGGTGCAAAAAATGCTCTGGACAGTATGAAATCAGCTTACAAAACAGTGAATGAATACAGTCACGATGGAAATGAAACATTGCTTAACAGGTTGAAAAAAAATTTGATTGTTTATTTTTAATAAGTTAAATTAAGTTACACGTTAGAATACTAAAAATCAGGCCTGGCGCTAGATACTTCAAAGATGGGTACAAAAATATTTTGGCATTTTAATAAAATAAACTTTAAATTATATGATGTGTTTTAATGCAATTTTTTTAGGTTTAAATTTTGAAGGTTTTAAATAATTTATCTTGAAAATTTATCTTTTCAAAATAAATTATTATATACTTGTTCTTACATAAAATGAGTATATCAATTTTGAAATAACTATTCTTATAAATTTGTATATTTTTATATTATCAAGAAAAAAATAAAGTCTTCAATAAAAATTCAGCGCTTTTGAAGTCTAACACCTGGGTAAAATCACCCATTGTACCCACCTTCCTCTGGGCCTGCTAAAATTTATAGGCTGGTTGTTAAACGCATTTGAAAGTTATATTTTAACACAAGTGTAAATTAATTTACGATTTTATGTAGTACATATTGATACAATAAAGATCAACAAAAGTCTTTTTAACTAGCCCATGACTTATTGAAATTTTTTTTTTCTTCACAAAAAAGTTGTCTTGACATTTTTTTTTTGTATACAGTTTTACTTGACTAAGGTTGCAGGCAAATGCTATTTAAGGTGGGAGTGTCTTAAATAACAAGGAAGATGTTTAAAGAGCAAGAAATGATTAAAATAAGATAAAAGAAGCAATTATAAGAACCAGGAAAATAACTAGATAAATTAAAGTTTTTAGAGCACAAAACATGCTGTTTCTATTATTTATTTTCAATAAACTAAAATGTCTGTACTAGTGATGTACCTATGGCAAAGGCCAATTGTGGCATATAATAGGTTTTAATGTATTTATATAAGAGTATTATAATAATATTAAGAATGTAAAATACATATATAACCTGTACCTATACACCAGCAGTGACTAGGTCTGCAACCCAGTGCCATTATTAACTAGAATTCATTTAATCAGCTTAACCATTGGGTGATTAATTGGTCGATGGCATCTGTTGATTAATCAGCATTGGCAGATGCATTGGCATTGACTAATATAGCCAAACCAAACTGGCGCATAGGTGCATCTTATATATGCAAATTGTGTACCTAATATTAATATATTGCTTTTATATACATACATTAAACCATATTATTAGCCTCAATTGGCCTTTGCCATCAGTACATCACTAGTCTGTATGTTTTTCGTTTGGCAAAAATAAAGAAAAGAAAAAAGAAAAAAAAACAACACTTATTGTTGTTAACCCAAAATTATTATTAATAACCCAAAAACTTAGTTTTTGGGTTATTAATAATAATTTAGCAGCAACTCCTTCTCATGTTTTTCCTATATCAATTAACGCATAGCCCCCACCTGACAATATATTGAAATAGACAGTTGCCAGGGGCAATGATATTTCAATATGATGTCAGGTTGCTGATATAAATATGCTTTTATTGTTATATATGTATATATATATATATATATATTTATATATGTATATATATATATATATATATATATATATATATATATATATATATTATATATATATATATATATATGGTATATATACACATTATATATAAGTGGTGCCAAATGGAAAAATGTTGAAATAAAAAGTTTAAACATTTATATATGTTTGCAACTACACAACAATATGTTCTGTATGTGCATTAAAGTTTATTATGCTCTACAAATACTAAATAGGGCTAAAAGTAAAAAGTTGCACTGAGATCCTAATGATTATTATTCATCCTAATGATTCTTTTAATGATTCTCATCAACGAAAAAAATAAATACAACAAAACCATAAATAACTTCAAAATAAAGTTGTATTCAATAAAAAAAACAAGCTATAGTTTTTTTTTTAAATAAATGATGATCTTGTTATATGTTAAAGATATTCCGCTGATCTATTGTGATGAGGATTTTCAAAAGTAATGAAAAAATCATTTAAAAGTTACAAAAGCAAGCTGTTAAAAAAACAAAACATTAAAAGGCTTAAAGGATTAAAATTAATTAAATAATATAATGGTGATATCAGTTAAAATTTTGCAAAAAATGGTCCCTAAAAACTTGTTTTTACATTGTTGTCATCAATTTATGCCAAAATTTTGATATATTATTTTCAAGTGTTTCCCTAATTTTTTTAATCCGATCTTATAGAATAATAGAATAATATATTAAAGGTACCACTGTAGTCTAAGAATGTTTAGTGGCTTCTGAGCTTGTCCTTTTTGAGCAGGCCTCAGATTTTCATGCAACTTAAAACGTTTCATTTTGTAACATTTTAAATTGCAGGCATTATCTAATTTAATTCAAGCTTGTTTTTATTATGTTTAGTAAAATTATTTAATGCTCTGTAGTTAATTCATTCTTAAACATATTGTTTAATTTACGAACATTTTTTGTAAATTATATGTGTATATAATTTACAAAAAATGTTTGTAAATTAAACAATATGTTTAAGAATGAATTAACTACAGAGCATTAAATAATTTTGCACAAGGAGTAAAATTTTGCAACAAGGAGTAATAATTTTGCACAAGGAGTAAAAAATCTTGTACAAGGAGTAAAATCTTTATAGTTTAAAATAGGTTTTAGCCCTAAGAATTAGGGGTCTGCATTCAGCTAGTCTAGAATTAGGGTCTGCATTCAGCAATGCTAACTTTATCTTTCCACTTTGAATCTGAGAAAAGAAAACTTGTAAAAAAAAACCACTTCAAAGTAGTTTAAAGAAAACACTTAAAAGTGATTGAGGAAAATTGTTTAAAGGTTTAGTTATTTAAATTATCGTTATAACTTATATATTATATACTTATATATTACTTATAATTTACTAATTATATTTTTTATATTATATTTTATTTGTTATATTAAAAATCTCTTTTGTAATATATTTTATATTTATTTATTATATATTTACTAGATCATTTTCATTTTTTGGAGTAGGTTTGCCTAACCTTTTCTTTGCTATGTAAAAATAAATTTTAGAATACAATAATATTTATTGCAAAGCGATAAGCTGATTGGAAATCTTTACTTTTTTTTTTCACTGTTTTTTTTTTCACTTTTTTAATTTAAAAAAAAAATTAAAAAAGTCAAAAAGTATTTTGTTTTTTGAAGCTACTATGCAGTAGAGTTGTACTTATTAAAGTACCCACCTAAAATTTGTTAACCAAAAGATTTAACAATTGCTGGATTTTTGTATTACATAATTTGGGCCTTAATCTGTTTTTAGGTGTTATAACTGTTTATTAATGTAAGAATTATTTAATGCTAATCATTTTATAAAATCTAAAATGAAATACCCTTAATCTCCATACCATTTACTAAATCTATTTAAGCATTGTTACAAAGTTGTAATTCATATTGTTATAACATTTATATTGTTACAATGTTGTATTTTATATAATTATACATAAAATTATTTAAAAATTATAAGAGAGACTTACCTAAACCCTTTACTATGACCCTCAAATATAGAATTTTGCATGTATTTTATTCATACATGCAAAATTTATTTTTAAAATAAAATTAATGTACAGTCGTATGACAATTTATTATGGCCACCCAATAAATTTTAACATACCTTGCTTATCTTTTGTTTTCTTGGCATTATAGTTCAAAATTATACAATTTAATTTATTTGGATGCATACAATATAGTTATACATTGACAAAATTATTTAAAATTTTATGCTGGTGTAAACACTGTCATTTTTGACAACCATTTTGTGACACCATCTTGAGACCGCTATTCTTACAGTGCACGTGGTGAATACTCTCTTAGTTAGTTTTGGTATATTTTTCAAAGTTATCATTAAAGTAAGTACTCAAATCGACTAATATTACTTTAAGAATATTACATTACATAAATTAACATAAAAATATTTTTATTTCACTCAGTATTTTGTGATTAAAATTATTTTAAGTAATAATAGAAATTTTCGTACTAAAATTGGTTATTTTTTTAGAAATGGGCAAAAAAAAGGACTTATCTCTAGAAAAAAAAAGTGAAATCCAAGCACTTCTTACAAATACTGGTTTTTCCCAAAGAGGAATTGCCAGAAGATATAATGTTTCTAGAGTGTCAGTGCAGAATATCCAAAAAAAAATTGTCAACATGGAAAACCTAACTCCAAAAAGGACTGGGAACTGTGGTAAAAAAGAATTCTTACTCCACGAGGTGAAAGAATTCTTACCAAAATAGTATTGGAAGATAGGCTAGCATCAAATGATGATATCACTGAGAAGTTGGAGAGCTCTGGTATTAAGATGTCCAAGAGAGTTCAGATGTCCTGGTATTAAGATGTCCAAGAGAGTTCAGCGTCATCTACACGATCTTGGCTACAGCTCAAGACGTCCGGCTAAAAAGCCAAAATTAATGCCAAAAATGATGAAGAAGCAATTAGAATGGGAAAAAAAATATTGAAATTGGACTGAAGACGATTGGAAAACGGTATAACAGATTATTTTATTAAATAATACTTTAAATTTTTTAGATAATTCATGCATTGTGGTCAATGAACCATCGTATAATATTTTTAGGTTTGCTTTAGTGATGAGAGCACGTTTCAAGTCTTATTAAAAAAATTACAATATGTGAAAAGGAAGGTTGGAGAGAAATATTTAAGTAGCTGTATTATTCAAACCGTCAAACATCCAACCTCGGTGATGATTTGGTTGGTTATTTGTGGGAAAGGAATGGGAAGGCTGTACATTGTTCAAGGATAATGAACCAGGTGCAGTATAAAAATTTCCTGGAACAAAGATTGTTACCCCAATTGACGGAATGGTTTGGTCCAGAGGAAAACAAAACATTCATGCAAGATGGAGCACCATGCCATACGTCTATCAAAATCTTTTTGAAAGAAAAATATTCCTTTGTTGGACTGGCCGGGAAATTCGCCGGATCTCAATCCTATAGAGAATGTTTGGGAGCTATTAAAAAAGGAGGTGGCCAAGGAAAATATTACAAACAAGGTGGTTCTAATAGAAAGTATTATAAAACATTGGAACCACAATGCAAGATTGAAGGAAATGGCACTAAACTGCATAAAAAGCATGCCTAAAAGGGTACAGGCAGTAATCAATGCAAAAGGAGGGGGGGGGGTTACAAAATATTGATTGTAACTAAGATATTATATGAATATTTTTTATTAAAGTGTATTTATTCTTATAAAATGGTAATTTTTTATTAACACACAACCTGATTTTTTATTAGAATACGTCTTTGGTAGATAAAATTGTAAAAACTGATGGAAAATCACAATTTTTCTAGAGTTTCTAGAAAAAATGTAGGTGGCCATAATAAATTGTCATACGACTGTAAATAAATTTTATAAATAATTTATAAATACTTTTAGATATTATAAAGTGTTACTTTTATATTAGCTTAAGCTTATATGATATGTAAAATATATTTTTTGTAGTGCTTGTTCCCGTGGTGATAAACGTATTGTTCAGTTGATTATTGATAATCAAGCTAATGAGCGTCCAAATTCTAGGACTGGCGAAACACCTTTATACATTGCTTGTTGTCATGGTCATCTTGATGTTGTAAATCTCCTTGCAAATAAATTTTCTGATCTTCTCAATCTTCCATGCACACAAGAGCAAATTTATCCACTGCACGCAGCAATAATTCATCAAAAAGAGTCAATTGTACAATATTTATTGACCTTAAGATATAAAAAACATGGGCTACAAAGAGTTATTTCAAATAATTCAAGTAGGTTTATGTCTCTAACTTTCCTTTCACGAATCTTTTCACTGGTGGTAAATATTTTGATTAAAAATGTTATTTTATTAAAAGTTAACAATACTTTTTTTTTTTTAATTGTTTTATCTAATCGTCATTTAAACTTTTGTAACATGTTTTCAAACATTGATTACAATAATTAAACAATTAAATCTAATATATTAGGCTTACTTAAATATTACTTAGTAATAAAGTTTTTAGTTAAACCAACATACTATGCACATACATAAAATGCATATGAGCATTTCCAAAAAATCATAAACAAAAACTCATATATGTTTTGTATATTATTTTTATAATAGTAAAACTAGCAACCTCAAATTTAATCTCATTAAATTCTAATCTATAGAGATATTTGGTAAACAAAGAATGGTATGCATTAGTAATGTTGTCAAAAAATAAATTAAGTTTGAAGGGAAATCATGAACAAAACAGAAAAAGGCAAATTTTATTTACAAGATAAATAAACTTTAATTTCTTTGAAAATTTAAGTTTCAACATTTTTTTTTAAATATTTATTTAATAATACTTTATTAATTAGTAAAGATTTCAAAAAAAAGTTACAGAATTGCAATATGTATCATAGAGTCACAGCAAATGTTTTAATTCAGTTAATTTATGGTCACACACAGAAGTCACACACACGAAAGTTGCCGATTTGTCAATTTCATGTAGATATTTTTATGAAATTAAATTGATTGTAAGAATTTAAAGCGAAGTATATCTCTACAACTCATATTTAATATATAAAATATTATATCCCTACTACTCATATTTAATATATTTTAGATAAAAAATAACAGTCATCAAATATTTCTAGCTAGAGTATAGCGTTTAGAAAATCATTGTATATTTTTCAAACTATTGCATCATTAACACACACACACAAAAAAAATGGTATATATATATATATATATATATATATATATATATATATATATATATATATATATATATATATATATATATATATATATATGTTCAAACATTCTTATTGCTATAAGACCCAGTTTCTAATTGTAAAAACAAAAGAAAAATAAAAAATCCTCACAGAAATGCCCATACTGCATAACACTTTTGAAATAAGGCATGAATTATAAATATATGTATGTAAATATATATATATTTATATATATATATATATATATATATATATATATATATATATATATATATATATATATATATATATATATATATATATATGTATATATATATATATACACACACACACACACTCATACAGTACAGTTAATTCCTGATAACTCGAATCTCTGAAGGACCCAGTAAAAATGGTTCAACCTATTAACAAATAATTGACTAAAGCAAATTCCTTTTACATTTTATCACCAAAGCATTTATAACATCATTGATGTTTTTATTAGAGTCATCCAATGTTTTTTTCATTTTCTTCAACAGGGGTAGTTTCACTTTCTACTTCAGAATGGATGATTTGCTTCGCTTTTTACACTTGCCCACTCCATAATTTTAATATCTGCTAAATTATAATAATTAAATATCGAGTTATACAATCTTGTCAAGAGAATATCATCTTCTGAAAAGTCATTAAATGGAATGTTGTATTAAATTTCATCACTTGACAAAAAAAGATGTTTATATGAATTTCAAAAAAAATATAGAAATTAACAAACAGCTTAACGAAGTTCAAGTTTTTTGGTTCAACTTAACCAGAGAATTTTAATAGTAATCAATTAAACAATTTCAAGGGACCAAATTAAACAGTTCATGATTAAGTTCTGAAATTGTTTGACTTACTGAGAATTTACTGATGCAAGCTGAAACTGTCAGCTGAATGCTGTCAAAGAAACAAGCTGTCGAAGATAAAAATTAGATGAATATTTTTAATAATTAATTATTGCTCTGTTCTTTAAGAATATTGAGCACTCTATTTGCAGAATAACTAACATAAAGCCATCTATGGCTTTATGTTAGGTTGCACTGAAACTTAAAAAAGACAAAATATCTATGACAAAGTTGTGTTTTTCTACAATGAACAAACTTGAAAAAAATTCTAAAACCTTAAAAAAATTTCTGAAACAAAAACCTGAAAAAAATTCCAAAAGTGAGTCTTGAAATCAAATAACTAAACAAGAAGAATTCAAAGAAAAGAGTGTTAAGTTCTCTGACCTCTCTGATGCTGATGCTATTGAAACAATTCAATATGATCAAATTTGATTTGTTGCCTCAAGGAAAGAAAATACTACTTTAGATACTAATTTATTTCTACTGAATCTAAAGTCAGTGTCAGTCTTACTAAAAATAAATTATTGTCTTACTTAAAAAAAGTCAGTGTCTTAGTAAATGGTTCAAAGGTCTCAAAGGATTGCTTTGTAGAAACTATGGAATGAACATGCAAGAAATTGAGAAAAAAAAGAAAGAAGCATTACACATCAGGGAGAGAATTGTCTCAGCAGAGTATTGGGTTCTTCACTGGGATGATAAAAAGTTTTGCAAATACTGAAGGTATTGTGTTGATAAAAATAATTATTATTCTTTTAGAAAAAGTTCTTGGAACTTAAAACTTTAAATCAGGAACAGCTAATGTACAAATATATAAATGCATTTGTCTTATTTAACAGTTGTTGGTGTTTGTTGGGATACAACAGCAACTAACAATGGATGTACTCAAGGATGTACTAAGATTGTACAAAGATGTACTCAAGGTAGTACTAAAAGAATTGTACTGTATTAAAAGAATTTTTATGGAAAAATACTCTACCTTACTTGCAGTCATTTTTTCAATGATATTATGATCAAAGAGATATTGTACAAAGTAGAAGAGCTTTTGCACCAAACAAAGATCAAGAGCAATGGCTGACAATGAAGAATAATGATGTGTTCAATATTGTCCTAGATTAATTCTCAAACAAGGCAATACAAACTACCTTGCGCTTTGCCAAATAAAAGGAGTTTTAATTGGAGAAAAGCCATCAGATGGGTTTGTTTTCTACAAACTGGTACTTTCCACCTAGCTAGCTGGATGGTCATACTTTTGTTCAGTGCAAAGATATTTTTGTTCAAGTATCAATTAAACTACTCAACAGTTTTTTCTGCCCATTTTGATAGATTTGTCCAGTTTACTTTTGTGATATATGTCAAAAACTTGTCTTATCTACACAAATGGTGTAATTCACTAATTAATGACTTGATTGTGATTAAAGATCTCACAATTTTCAAGGAAAATATTTGACAAATGTGTTGCTAAGAGAGCTGCCATTGGAGTGCTTACCTTGTACCTTACTAGAGAACTGATAACATTGACATTCTTCTTTTCCAAAACACCATTATAGTCTGTCATTCTCTCAAGAAATTTAACATAGCTCTCACTATAACAAGGCCAATTATAACTTTCAAAGTTTCAACTTTTTTATAAAGCCTTTTGGGAACAGCAGAGTGAAAAATATCATGGATCATAAACTAGACCCATCATGCATAGACACTTGATGCCAATGAAAAATGACAGTGGAGTTTGCAGCTTGTAGAACAACATCAAACATTGAGTGGTGATTTCAAGATAGAAACATTATTTAAGCGATGAAATTTCTTTTTCTCCTAAAAGTATTTTTCAAAATAAATACATAAAGAATTTACTTGGATTGTATAAATGTAACATTGTTTTTACTTTTTATTGTAGAAAAGTAGAAATTACTATTTACTTGAGGGCTCAGCCGTAATATGTAGAGGGAGAAATCAAACTACAGTTAATTTAACATTAGTCATCACAGGGATATATTCTCATCAACCAAAATTTGGTTGATGAGACTCTGAGCAGTTTTGTATTTTTTTAATAATCCAAATGTGTGTGCACACACATATACATTTATATATATATATATATATATATATATATATATATATATATATATATATATATTATATATATATATATATATATATATATATATATATATATATATATGTATGTATATATATAAATGTCATTTATGATGTTATACTGAAACAGCCATTTGCAGGGTTTTTAGTTTATATATTTACTTAGATTTTATTTGGGTTTGAATATGAATGACTATTATTGAGACTTTTTTAATAATCATATTATATAATAGCGAAGTCAATGCTCATTGGAGAGTGTTTAACATGATACTCTTGGCAGCCATTGCAACTGAGGTAATAGCAAGAAAGAGTAGCAGCACTTTTTTATATAAGAAAAGTCAACAAAAATGTATTCTATTATCTAACTTATGCAAATATCTAACTTTCTTTAAATTTTTAATGTTAAAAACATACTAAAACATATATCAAGTTTTTCAGTTTTACTTTCACTTGAAAATTGAATTATGGCAACATCGCCTTAAGATGTGATCTGTAACACTTAACTCCATTTGATAAAGTCTTTAATATAATATATACTTTTTAAATCTTTATCAGTGAATAAGTCTGTGTAGCCGAGTGGTTAGTATGCAATGCTCTGAAGCTGGAGGTCCAGGTTCGATACCTCACGGTTTGTAAATTTGGGACCCTAATATCAATGAAATACCCTATGAAAACCCTTTTAAGGGGGGATAGTACATAACAATGGATGGCCATACAAAGTGATTTTGAAATCCTGCATTAACATCCAATGGAGATTTTTTACTTTGAAGTTTTGAAGAAAATAAGAATTTTAAGCAACATTTGGCAGCCTATTTGTAGTACAAAAATACATTTCTGATTTTTTATCATAAAACAAAAAATGTTACAAACATAAATTGGGAGCTTTTTTATTTTATTCATTTATTTTCTTAATGATCGCATTTAGAAGATAAACAACAATTTCTATAATTCCATTAAAAATTATAATGCTCTCTAGAGACGAATCATCTGGAACAAAATAAAGGCACTAAAATATCACAAATCTGTTAAGAGTATTCTTAGGATTTTTTTAACACTGTTCTTTAGATTTAGATTTTCTTGCTGTTGTATTCGATCACACACTTCAGGAGTTGGCT